GCTAACTGAAGGAACAAAAGTATTACCGTGGAGAAGAATTTCAACTAGTGTTCCAGTTAGTTTGATACGGTTTATTTAGTTACGGGGAGATTTTCTCAACCCCATGTTTACCTGACCGTGATAGAATTTAGTAATACTACTAATACACATGAATGGTTATCAAAACAAAATTTAAATACGTGAGTGATAATTATGTGAATTTTGGACAGATAGCTAGAAACAAATCGTTAAACATGAGTGTATTCGTAAGAGACATGCTCTAGACTCAATGTTCTGATCTGCGGCAGACTATTTATTTATATCTATACTTGCCGGCTCACTGGGTATACAAGTTAGTTGAAAGTATGCAGATTATCATAAGACGGAATACGATTTAACTAAGATATAGTGGTTATAAGTTATTAAAATCAGCTAAGCCCATGTGTCATATTACTAAGTGATGTGGTGCTGCAAGATGTATTTAGCTAAATAAGTTTTTACAAGATGATTAATAGTGAGTGATGCTCATGTGATTAAGAGGGAGAACATAAGTCGTAACCAGGGGGAGTACACTCCCAACTCACGTCTATGATAATGGCTTGAACCTTAGTCAGTGTTGGGGTAAATTCGACATTCAAGTTTTCAGTTAGCAGGAGATTTGCTCGACTGCTTATACTGATTATTTGCATGCATTATTGTGTCGCTAAACCTCCAATTAGACTGACAAGGTTTCGAGATATTTACTGAGTGAGCAACCGATAGAGAAACATACTGTAATCATCTGTAGTGAATGAAGATAAAAGAAAAGCAACACTAGTGGTGATTATAAGTAAATTTGCTGACCGATTTTGTTAGTTTCATTAATTTTATCAATCATATTACGTGATTGTAAGGTCATGATAATGCTTTATGACGATATCCTGAAACTATTATGTTTAACTAGTTATAATGTTGATTGTGGATGTCAGTGGAAAAATAGGTATTGTTGCTTTAGGTGATTCGAAATCATCAGAAACTAGTAACGTTAAAGAATCCGAGACGTCTAATGTAATTATAAATTTTAATTCAGAAATATTCGTTTAGTGTTAATTCTAGTAAGCTACGGAGTTTTGATTTTAAACGTTTGTTTAGCCAACAGATACCTAGGGATTTAGTTATTTTACTAGTGCAGTTGATCCAGATGATTTCTAAATTTAGAAGACATGGATATATAGTGTAACGTATGTATGAACCAGGTTAACATGCAGGTTGTTGACGTATATGTCGATTTAAAAATAATGACCATGACCAGACAAGTAATTTTAAAGTTTAGACTGCTTGTGAAACTTCAGTCAGGAATATGATGCGTTATAAACATTCCGTAAGAAGGTAATGCATTTAGCCTAGGGACACTTACAAATATATGGCAAAAGCAGCTGGAAAATATATACATGTTAAGTACAAAAAATCATTAAGTGAAATGGTTGAACTCGCCTGGATTATTTTTGAAAATTAGATTATTCAGTGGACGACATATATAACGCCATTCGTGAGGAGTAGAAATGATCCAAAAGTATCCAGAATAAAACATGCACTATAGCGTTTAATTCCAGGGTGCTTGATGCTGTTGGCGTTTTTGCCACTCGCTCGGATCAGAACGATCGAATGGATCCAGATAACTGTGTATGCCATTGAATGAGCCATCTAAAATGAACTTATGATTGCAGAAAACTTATAGCTGGGACTCACTGTATTTTTTGGAGAAGTGTCATCCTTGTTGTTTGGCAATGGAACTCGAGAATATGAAATTAGGCAGGCAGTGGTCGGAAGAAAAGATATTACAGGATAGTGCAGTTTAAAACAGGATGAGGTGTTAAGTGAAGGAACACTGAGAATTAGATCCAGATAACTATTTAGTCCTTGACTGCATTGTTAGTCAATGTATATTTATGCTATTTTCAGGTCATATTTGCTAGAGCTTGATGTTTAAACAAGTCTATGTCGCTGAAGCATGTAAATGCTATTAAAGCTTGTTAACGAACCATCAAAGCTAATTAGTTGATATACATGATCAACTTTTATTATCAATTGAGCTAGTAAGTTATGTGAACTAATAGATATAACATTACGATAATATATGTGACCATTATTCAAAGGACTATTAGAATACTGGGTTTACAAAAATAAAAGCCGATTGAGAAGGTTAAGGTGGAAATAAGGATTAGCAATAATAGGTCGCGTTTCTTTAGTTGGGCTCACCAATGTAGAACTTATGGTCTACTATGATATTAGTACTGCTCTAATAATATACCTAATCCTAAATCTGTAGATTTGTCATGATATGACTGCCTAATCTATAAGATCTTACGTGGAAGTCACACCATCGACTACACCAACTCACTGTATCGTATCAGTTACCAACACATGATGTAGAACAAGGTTAGGCTAGAGAAAGAACAATATATTTAATATGAATAGAAGATGTAAGGTAACATTCAGCAGAGACCACGCCTGCATGGACGAGCCATGCCGTTCGATCAACTCTAGTCTATTCAATTCATTATTCGCGCCTTCTCCATCGTTAGGTATTTCTTCGCGTTAAATATTGAATACCTATTTTCCGAGTAATCTCGTATTCAGCTTTGAGGATAGTGTGGCTATGGTCCAATGCCACTACAGATTACCTTTCAAAATCTTGTATAAAGATAAATGACCATTAGAAACACTTGAATCAATCTGATATAAATTACGAAGTTTATTATTACTTGCTGCGAATGAACAGCAGTTTTACAATCTTTCGGAATGTATCCAATTTTACTACCTTTACAACACTTTGTATTACGAATTGTACATGAATTACGTGAATGGAATTTACTTTTGTGATCTGATTTGTAATTTCTTGTCAATCACCTTTCGCATTTTCAGAAGAATAGGAATCGTTATTAAACAAATGTGAGCTTGGTCGACTTTGTGGGCATATTTCGTCATGACAACCAAGCAAAGTGTAGGAAATTCTCACCGACTGGAAATCAAGTTCATTCACTGCCTCATAGTTGATACATGAAGTTCTAGCATCTAGGAAAGAACAGTTCGGCATTTTTAACATTTCTCTTTCCGGATGTGGTATATTAATTCTTGCAATCAATCGATCTCGAAGCTGCACATGAAGTTGACTCCACAAATTGCAATTGGTGGCTTGTTCCAGAAATTCGAGAATGGATTATCCAACCTTTTGTTTATTCTGACGAATCATCTTATGAAAATTTACTCTTTTACGACAGTTCAAACTAGTACACTTTACACGATTCAATAGTAGTTCCTCGAAAGTTGCATAAAAAAGAATAGGGGTTTCCTGGAAATGCCAATGTTTTTAATAAGCAGTAAGCATCCTTTCCAATGAATGTGCGGTAGTGTTGAATCGCAGTCGACTATTATCACGATTACAGATCTATTACGTGCCAATTACTAGATTAAAAACCCCCGTAGGATAAATATTAGAAGGACAAGTGTAGATTGTAGTTAAGACATTTGTTGGGGATCTCGTTTACAAGCAAGACTACCGTGCGTACGTAAGTTCCAGGTGACAAACAACCGTAAAAGTTTGTTTTTGGTACAGTAAACAGAAACGTACAGTAAAAGAATCGCTAGTACAGTTGGTTATGATAATAAATGTTTACATTCCAGCAATCGTGTTCTCTTCATAAAAGTAGATCACTATAAGTGTGAGACAACGATCCACAACTTTATCGTCTTTAATATCCTTCCTGGTCATGCTTCAAATTTCGAACCTTTCCATATAATCTTCAAAAGCTTCAGAATTTGGACGTGTAATCAACTGTACAATCACGGACTCCATCACGAAGCCAATGTGATATTCAGAAGTAGTTAAATTATTATGCAAACTAGGAATCCTCGAAATAGCGTACTTCAAGTCAGGTAGAACTAGGTGATTACAAACGAACATGTTGTAGTTGAAATTAAAAATCAGGCGCACATCGAGTACAAAAGAATCATTAGCTCATACAAACACCACGAGTGAATGAACATTTCCCCCAGAAAAAGTAATATACTTTCGTCACCTTTTAAAAAAGACATGATCTCTTTTCGAGATTTATGTGTCAGCTAGTACTTTGGTGATTATAGGAAAATAGCTTGAACCTCTGAACACAGAGTTTGTATGTGATGTGATGCCTACCAGTATGGTGTGTATTTGTTATCACGTACAAAACGATATCTTTGGCTAGATTACAACTTATTTCGTCCTTTTTTTTATCCATCTTGAAGATAACCTTTGACTGTGACATTCAATGAGGTAGGTTGCACTCAGACAAAGAAGACTCAGTTCCATTCTGTGATTATATACACTTTTATCCAACAAATCTTAACTAACACTTGAATTTCCAAGCACGCAGCAAGCGAAATCAATAGGTCAAGTCACTTGGACTAGTTAGTAAATTGCAGTTTGATCAGTTGGAATTCAATCAACCCAGCTAGATTCTGAACGATTGAAACATTAGTTGTCACTACAAACTGTTTGATGAGTGTAGAATTTAAAATATTCAAACGGTTTGCGATGAATTTACCACTTAAGATAGATTATTGGGTGTATGGTGACGTATATTAGGTGGTTTTTGTAACAAAAAAATTTAAACCACATTTTCTCTCTAAGTTGTCACACTTTATACGCACCCTCATTTTTATTAGATATCTGTTGTTTTTCTGTGCCACTTGTTAAAAAACGATGACAATTGTTTCGTGGTCTAGCGGTTAGGATTCCTGGCTCTCACCCAGGCGGCCCGGGTTCGACTCCCGGCGCGGGAGAGTTTAGATAACTGACGCGCGCTATCTAAAAAGGACAGTGGTATTGTTTCTCGTTAAATTAGTAAACTGTTTTGATCGTAAATTACGTATCAAAACTACGGTTTACACTTTAATTGAATCTACTCCAGTTAAGGTGATATTTTACTGAGTTTTTTTGGTTTTTGTGTATTTATTACACTCGGAAGCATTCTTGGTCGTTATCAAAGCACTTTAGTTAAGGTTTTGACATCTTGCTAGAGTTGTCTTGTCGTTCATACTGTGATCATATTGGTGTTACACCTTGATCATACTAAAATGGTTGGTAGTACCCACAAATGTGGACAACCAAACTGCTTGTTCCCTGTGGAGGAGGGAATGCAGTGTGACGAATGCAATAAATGGTTCCACAAAATGTGCACCCGTTTAAGTCCCACTGCATATAAAAGATGTTCGAAGCCTAACTCACATTGGCTTTGCATGTTTTGCTGTGCCAACAAGGCATTGCTAATACAGGAGGCTATGAGCCTATTGGCTTTGGCCTGTAAGAAGAATGATGGCAAATGTGCCGACAACACGGGCACTGACAGTGACGAATGTGTCAGTGTTGTTACGCAACGCCTCAAAAAACCGACTCTGAACGACGCAAAAGTGAAATCTCCGTTGATATTAACAGGGGGAGTAGTACCACCTAGTACTGACATTGTTAATCATGCACCTTTAGTGGGCACCGACGATCTGGATAAAACAGTCACCGTTCCAAATAGTCCCAGTGTTACTAGGGATGAAAAATGGACTACGGTACGTAGAAAACGAAATGAAAAGAAAAAAGCTGTAAGCAGTACACAGGTAGTTAGTAACTCAATGGTGGACTCAAATTGTGAGCCACAAGTTGCACTACCAAGATCTGATCGTAAGAGTGAAACCCATCCTGGCGTAACTGAGAAGAAAAATCTAATAACATCGAATATTATTGTGAGCAAATTGCGGGAGTCAAGTGACCCTGATCCGAAAGTTGGACACGCGCATGACTTAGAAAAGCTAGGAGAATACATTCGTAGTATTTTACCAGATAACTCCAAAGGAGTTCAGGTTAAAAAGTTAGTAAGAATAGGCAAGAGGACCGAGGACAATGTTGAACCCCGTCCATGCAGACTCCTTAAGGTAATCCTAGGATCGGAGAAGCAACGGGATCTCTTGTTAAGTAGCGCTCGTTGTCACGACAATTCTGACATCCGAGTTAGGCCTGATATATCTCTCGAAGATAGAATAAAAAGGAAGAAAGCACTAGCTGAACTTGAAACCCGTCGGCAAAACGGCGAGGAAAATCTCCGGTTAGTGGGTTTTCGGATAGTCAGGTCTTGGAAGCGAATGCTACCAAGGCCTGTGTGGATAGGCTGTTCTACTTAGGAGTTTTATATGCCAACGCTCGTAGTCTACGAAATAAGTTCTATGAACTAGAAGCACTAGTGGACAGGGTAAAGCCACTCATAGTAGCAGTGACAGAAACTTGGTTAGTCGATGACTTAGACATTACTCCAGAATTATCCGGATATCACTGCATCAGGAGTGACAGACATAGATGTAGGAAAAGGAGGCGGCGTCCTGTTATACATAGCTAATAGCATAAATATCCGCTCCTCTACTAGAGATTCCCATGATACTTGTGAAGTCATTAGCTGTAAGTTGGCTATCGGATGTAGTACATTTATGCTCGGTGTCATCTATCGCAGCCCAATCTGCCTAGCTGATGACTTTGTTTTAGAGCACATTCATCTTTGGAGTGAAAATACCAGATGTTTGATAATAGGAGACTTTAACGCACCTGATATTAGTTGGACTGATATGACCACAGCAGGATCTATAAACTCCTTTGATAGTAAGTTCCTGATAACAATAATGGAGCATGCACTAGTACAGCATGTATCCCAACCCACACGTTTTGGTGTTAACCAGGGTTCTTCTCTGCTGGATTTGGTAATCACTCATGAGACTGAGGATATTGTCGACTTCAATATTCTCCCGCCGTTAGTGAACAGCGACCACGCTGTTTTGTCATTCACGTTTCGTACTAGGGACATGTTATACGATCAGGTTACACCTCGCCCAAATGTATGGAAAGCTAACATATCAGCCATTCAGGAATGTGCTGCTAAGACAAATTGGTTAGTAGATACTAGCATATCAGTTGAAGAAGCATGGTCTGTATTTAAAGGTAAATTTAGACTAGTTACGTCCCCGTTCATACCATACCTGGTACCGCGAAGACCGAATAATAGTCCACCATGGATAACTAAAACGGTCAGGAAACTCCTTAGAAAAAGGAAGAATCACTGGGATATGTTCATCTCTACCGGCTTAGAACAATACAGATCCAGTTATTGTAAGATTAGGAATGCCTGTAAAGCGTTAATAAGTAAGACTAGACTATCATACGAAAAACAATTGGTTAGGGATTCTAGATATAGTCCGAAACGGTTATTCTCGTATATAAAAAGGCGAACTAAGAGAAGTGATGGAATTCCATCACTTTTGATACGAGAAAATCCGTTAATCTTAGCAGACAATGATGCCGAAAAAGCTGAAGCATTATCGGAATACTTTAGTAAAGTGTTTTCTATCGGTAATGAGGAACGACCAATGATTCGTTGCGACCGTGACGGCTCGCTGATGGATCCTGTAGTCATTGAGAAAGATACTGTTTTAAGGCTACTCCAACATCTCAAACCTGATAAGTCCAGTGGTCCTGACGATATTCATCCTAGGATTATGAAAGCCATTTCACATGAAATTGCTGAACCATTAGCGATACTATTCGACATGTCTCTGAGACAGTCCAAACTGCCTAGAGACTGGAAAGACGCCATAATAAGTCCGGTGTATAAGGCTGGGGGTAGGGATTTAGTTAGTAACTATAGACCCGTTAGCTTAACTAGTGCAGTTGTAAAACTGATGGAGAAAATCATTCGGACAGCTATTATAAACTATGTTGAAGGGCAAAATCTTTTCTCCAGGGAACAACATGGTTTTCGGAAAGGCCTATCTTGCTTGACAAATCTTCTCATTGCACGAGAAGATTGGGCTGCGGCAAAGGATCGGAATACTCCTGTGGATGTGATTTTCATAGATCTAAGTAAAGCCTTTGATAAGGTTTCCCACTCTGGTCTTAAATTCAAACTGAAACGTTTTGGAATCCATTATACAGTCGTCGATTGGATAAGTAACTTTCTCCATGACAGGAGACAAAGGGTAAGGGTTAATGGGACTCTCTCCTCGTGGGTACCTGTAAAAAGTGGGGTTCCCCAAGGTACAATCCTGGGTCCTCTTCTCTTTTTACTTTATGTAAATGAATTGCCAACTGTAGCAAAATCATCCGTTCTACTCTTCGCTGATGACATAAAGATTTGGAGACCCATACATAGTATGTCGGATAGGATAGTATTACAGGACGATCTTAGCTCATTGGTGGCATGGTTAGATAGGTGGTCACTAGAAGTAAATCCTAATAAGAGTGTAGTGATGCAGTTAAATAACTCTGATGAATCGTATGACTATACGCTACGTGGATTCGTGCTACCAAAAGTAAGAAACTATAAAGATTTAGGAGTCATATTAAGCAATGATCTCAAAACGACTGGTCACTGTAAGGCTGCTGCTGCAAAAGGCTATAGGGTATTATGGTCAATTCGTAGGTCTTTCCAGTATTTAGATGATGAAATGTTTAGATTACTATACCCGATTTATGTGCGACCACATTTAGAATACGGGATTCAAGCAGCGTGTCCTTGTTTCAAATATGAAGCAGATATGCTAGAAAGAGTCCAACGACGAGCTACTAAGATGGTACAAGGTCTATCTGGCCTATCTTATGAAGACAGACTGAGACACCTTAACTTATTTCCGTTATCTTACCGTAGAATAAGGGGTGATCTAATATTGGCCTATCGTATACTGAACGATGACCTTGGTATTAACATGTCTTATCTTTTGCTCCCGTCTAGAACCGATCATTTGAGAGGACATTCGAAGAAAGTTCAAAAACCGAGATCAAACCGTTTACGTCTGGAGTTCCGTTTCTCGCACCGAGTAGTGAATTACTGGAATTCTCTACCGGAACACGTAATATCAGCACCATCTGTTAATATATTCAAAACGAGATTGGACCTCCACTGTATTACAAACTGCAAGGATTAATATAGGTCGACAGACCTCCTATCCTTATTACTGAAGACTGAAGACTGTACGCGCTCGTTTCGAAAAGGGCAGTGATTTTTGTACTAGTTGTGATTATACTTGCTTTGGGTACTTATTGCACTAAAAAGCATTCTTGGTCTACTTTAACTAAGAGTACTTTGGTTAAAATTTGAAATTTTTTGCTAAATTTTGTCCTGAGTACCTGTTTTTAGTCCTTGACTAACACTTGTGCTCACATTGTTATCGTTTTTGTTTTTAAACCTCTTAAATCGAATTACAATGGTTGGTAAGACTCACAAATGTGGGCAACCAAATTGTTTGTTCTCCGTTGAGGAGGGGATGCAGTGTGACGATTGTAAAAAGTGGTACCACAAAATGTGTACACGACTAAGTCCGACGGCTTACAAAAGATGCTCGAAGCCTAACTCGCATTGGCTTTGTATGTTCTGCTGTACGGATAAAAAGGTACTAAGACAGGAGGCTATGGGCCTATTGGCTTTGGCCTGCAAGAAAAACGACGGCGGAAGCACTGATAACAGGAGCACTGACGATGAAGAATGTGGCAATGTAGTAAGTGCTGCTACTGGACCCGTTAAACACTTGACCGCGGTTGACGGGAACGTGAAATCTCTGTTGACATTAACGAGGAATGAAGTGTCGCTTGATATTGACATCGGCAGTCATACACCTCTAGTCGAAATAGAAGATCCGGATAAAACTGTCACCGTTCCACATAGTCCAGGTGTGGCTGTTCTGAGTGGCGACAGATGGACTTCGGTAAGAAGGAAAAAAAATAAAAATAAAAAGGCTGTAGGCAATGCGCAGCTGGTCAGCAAGACATTGGAAGGGGTGTTATCAGAAGAAAAATCCTCACCGCGTGACAAGACAGATCTCTCTGATAGATCAGTCATTTTTCATAAGATAAGAGAATCTTCGGATACTGAACCAAAGGCAAGATTTGAACATGATCTCAATCATATTAAGACATCATTAAGTAAACTACTCCCAGATACAGTTTCAGGAGTTAGTATTTGTAAGTTTTATAGAATAGGAAAAAAGGTGGATTCCGAAAGTCCTCAGAAAAACCGCCTCCTAAAGGTTACATTCAATACGGTGGAAGAAAGGAACCTGATTCTAAGTAATTCACGTAAACTGATTGGATCCGGAATATATGTCCGTGAGGATCTCAGCCTAGCTGATCGTATTAAGAGAAGAGATGCAGAAGCGGAAATAAACGAGCATCGCCGAAATGGTGAAAGAAATCTCGCTCTTAAGGGTTTTCAGATTGTAAAAGTTCGGAGCAAAACGATCCCCAAGCCACTCTGGGTGGCAAGGGAAAGTTCTCCACAGACTTAAAAGTGTGCTACACAAATGCTCGCAGCCTACTAAATAAAATGGCGGAGCTGAAGTCAGTGGTGGATAAGGAAAAACCGGGCGTTATCGCTGTCTCGGAAACTTGGTTAACGTCAGAAGTATTAGATAGTGAAATCCAGTTGACTGGTTTCATAACCAGTAGAGCTGATAGATTAAACCGAAGGGGAGGCGGGGTTATTGTGTACACGAAAAGTACCCTAACCATAAGATTAGCTGAGACAGTAGCACATGTTTCAGGGACATGTGAACTTGCTTCGGTTTGGGCACCCGGGCAGTATCACAGCCCTCACACATATCGGATGAGATTTGTGTGGCGCATATGTATTTGGCATATGTATTTGTACCATTTGAACTAGTGAGATGTAAGTTGAAATGCCGACGGCAAGATATTGAAGTAGTTGTAGTTTATCGCAGTCCAGAAAGTGTAGCAGATGATTTTCTCCTAAGTAAACTTAAGTCCTGGTGTAACAACGGTAAAAGCCTTGTATTAGGCGACTTTAATGCACCATATATAAACTGGGTAAACTTAGAAGTAGGGTCAGCCATATCGTCTTTCGACTCCAAACTGTTAGAAACCTCGATTGGACTAGCATTATTACAACACATTAGAGATCCCACAAGATACGATTTAAGAAACTCGTCTTCTATTTTGGATTTAGTCTTCACGCATGGCGATGACGTTGGTCAAACGGCTTTCCTTCCACCACTTGGGAGAAGTGACCATGCAGTCATCTTATTCAAATTCATGGTTGAGATTGTTTGTCAAACAATTGCGCCGGCCCGTCCTAACATATGGAAGGCAGATATGCAGGCAATTAACTCCGCAGCATCGGCTGAGAACTGGGAAATTGATTCAAAGGCATCAGTACAAGAGGCATGGACTCTATTCAGGCTGTTATATAATCGGGTAACTCAACCATACATACCCTGGACTGTCCCAAAGAAAAAGAAGCACGGACATCCCTGGATAGGGCGGGATATTCGACGCTTACTAAGACAAAAGAAGAAATGCTG